TCCTTTATCTATTGTTGTCCTGTAACAAATGTGTTCTTATTTCACTGCATTGTCTGGAAAGATTTATTTAGGTGAAGGTTATGTGATGTTTGAGTAGAAAGTCAACAACAGCAAAACTACAAATGATCTAAAGACCTTGACTTCTGGCTGACATGTCACAGGACTCAGTTCACACAGCACATAACATGTACTATACGTGTATGTTTGTCACATCATGTATATATTTTATACATATAAAAAAAAACTATATATCTAACTCAATATGTAAACATTGGACATGATTCACACACATTGTGGGGAAAAAAAAAAAAAAAAAAGGTTTAACTTAAAAACAAAACCTCAATAAAACCCAATAAAACTTATGGTGTGAACCAAATACTCTTTGCATAATGTCAGATTGTAAAGAAGAATGTGATGCATTGTAAACTATTTGATTATTTTCCCCCCATAGATATTTGTACTATTTCATGTTATTACATTTCATTCTAGTAGTTTTGCTCCTTCTCCCCTTATAGATTGTCAGTATGACTTAAAATATTCTTGGACACTAATTTAATCTATTTTTTTGATGTAGCGCCTGGGTTGCAATGTCAATTGTTCACTTGTCTTAGTTAATCAGCATAATATTTCAATGTTGTTATTTTTTTCTGAATACAGTGTCTAGCGTGCAATGGCTAAAATAGGAAATAATCTTTTATTTGATTGGTATTATTCAACTTAAATATGGTTTTAACTAAGGTGCATAACATTTTAGCCATATTTTTTAGGGTGATATTTTAATTCTTTTATCACTAAAAATATAAAATCATGGGAAATTTTTTTAAGTTGAACATTTTAATAGAAATAGTTTTTTTCAAATGCTTGAAACCAAATGAATATATTAGATATTATAAACTGGAACCCAGCTGGCCAGATTTTTGTGTGTGAAATTAATGTATGTTAAAATAAGTTGTACAATTTTGTTTAATTTTAGTTTATTGTTTTGTTTATATATATATATATATATATATATATATACATACATATACAGTAAAACCTTGTTATATCATACTTGAAGATAATGCCATTCAATACATCCAGTAGGAACTACACAGATCAGCTGAACCCCTGCCTGTCAGCCAGGACAGAAGATAAAATTTGATGAGACTGGAATTATGGTATTACGAGTTATGAAAAAAAAAACCCAACTTGGCTTGATTGTATCTAACACATCATACATAACAGCGTCTACTAAAAACCACACTGTGAACATAAAACTAATACATGTATATGTTTCTATTATTGTCACTAGATAGATATATGCAGAGATAAATGTTACCATCTTGTGTCCTATATAAATCAGCGTAGCGTTCTTCCAGTACTATTTATTAGTCATATATAATATACCATGAACATCTTATCATCTGTCATGTGTACTAAGGGTAATCCCATCCTTACTCCAGGACATCATTGGGGGAAACAAGCATAAGATTTTATTCACTTGGGTTTACTGAGATAGTTCAGTGGTCAGCCCTGGTCTTATAGTCTATTCAGTGGTCAGCCCTGGTCTATAGTCTATAGAGTGGCCAGACCTGGTCTATAGTCTATGCAGTGGACATCACTGGTATGTAGTCAATATTTTGGTCGACCCTGGTCTATATACTGTGTGGCTAGCCATATCAACATAATTAGTAGGTATAAGATGGGCTGGAAAAACTATTTTTACTTCATTGTCAACTGTGAAATGCCCTAAGAGTCATTCAGATCTGACATGTTTTAATGCATAGACAGACAGCTTAGAGTGAATAGATTGCATTTAAACAGATTTTGTCAACATGTTGTATTTTTGCCACATGGGGCATAGGTTATAAAAATTGATTTAAAAATTTGGCACAACTTAACTCTCAGAGCTTAATAAAAACATTCACAGTACAATTATATCTATTTATTCAGTTTGGTGTAAATTAGGAAATAGATTTCATTTACTAAGACGTCGTGCTGTGTACAGAAGCCTTACACTTTGTAATGTAACCTTAAATATTGAAGAGAATTAAGATAATTGTTTTTAAAATGTTTCATTTATTGAAAACAATCAAAAGAATTATTTTATGGTAAAGTTAATCTATACAGTATACCCTTGATTTAAAATTCTACAATGACTTCAGTACTTGGTCGATTCTTACTTTTTTTTCAATTTATAGTCATTGTTAACTTCCTGCATCAAAATAATTAAATTGGTTCAAGTTTTTTCCAACTTTATCCAAATATTCCCAATGTTGTAAAATTTCAATATGATTGATTTCCATCTTAAAAGAATGTGTTTGAGACAAATTCAATGACTGCTCTGCTCACTTTTTTTTTTCCCCATAAAACAACAATAAATAGAGATTGCAGAAAATTTTTCTTAAATATCCATCAATGCTACACTTGCAATAGCTGGTGTCTGAGGGTAAAACTGGCTTGGATAATTATTCTAAAATTTAGTGTTGAATTGGGCCACAGAGTTAATGTTTTGCTAAATTTTTTGACATAATTGTAACATGTGTTGTAAGTACTAAGTATTTAGTTAAAGGAATATTGTCAGGCCAACTTGGTGCTCTTGTATTGGGCAGCTTACTCTAGACGTTTAGTCATCTGGATCCGATTGTAATATTTTAATTCAATAGAACTATGTTGCTTTATTTGCAATTTTGGTTAGTCAAATAATTTATAAACATTACAAAATTCCTGTTCAACAAATCTGGTAGAGTAATTCTGTAGAGCACATTTGCATTAATTTTTTTTTTTAACTACCTCAAAAATTTGTTCCCCCCATAAGTCACAGTTGGACACTATTGTCAATTATTCATTGGATATTTGTATACATTTTTTAACTACGTAAACCAAAAAATTTGTTATTAGTTTTTTGTTTTGTTTTTACATTTTGGGTTCAATATGTGTGTGTTTTTTATTCTTTATAAATAGACTTCTATAAATAAACATATTTATTTTAGTTGGAGCGACTGAATGAGATTGCGCATATATAAAGATTATCTGGTGATGATTGAATGATTGACTGGGTTAAAGAAATGATCATGTCTAGACACAGTATTAATAGTCAATATTTTTTATTGCCGTTTTTTTTTGTAAAACATCTCTAACCTTCATAAGACATTAGGGAAAAAAAGGAATTCAATTATTTTTTTTTCTTAAAATTTAGCTCAGAAAAGTGTTTAATTTAATGTTACTTAAAAAACAACTACATCTTTTAAAACTCAATTTAATATGTTTTATTAAGACTAAGTTTTAATCGCTATGAAAAAAAATTATAAAGTATTTGTATTGATGAGAGTCAGTATATTTTGGTGTTTAAAATTATATCCAGAGGTATGGACATGATTGTTTTCATGTATATATTCAATCTTTGTATTTTGATTTTGTGTAAAAGAAGAGAAACAGAGGGCTTCACCACAAGTTCTGCAGAATGAAGCCCAATGAAAATTCCTTTGGAAGATAGCATTTGCAAACTGGTAAACTAAATAATGTGTGCCAGTTGTTTTTTTTAAAGATGTCTATTATTACTTTTTTTTTTCATTGATACAAAATACTTTTGTGCCTGACACCATTCTTTGTCAAGTGTCAAGATGAAACTTTGAAAGTATAAATTCTGTTCCCCTGTTCTTGGGAGGTCAAAGGTGCATAATGCTCACCTGTTCAATAAGACTGTCATGTTTGTGTTATGATAATAATGTATACTATTTGCTCTATGTAATCTGACATAATTATTAAAAGATGCTCCTGGACTAAATCTGTCAACAGAGTTGTAGATTAATTTGTGTGAGAGTTCACTTGTCTTGTGTATTGATTGTAGTTTTTATATGAACTTAAGGCATATTATACATACAGTAGATTTCAGTTACTTGTATCACCATGATTACACAGCAATGTCTTGAGTTAATGGTTTGGGTACTTTGGAATTCAGTCAGAATAAACAGCTTGTTTGTTAAGCCAGAATCATTGGTATACATCTTAAGCATGATTCTTAAAAGAATATGATTTATATACTAGCAGATATATCCTTGAAAAAAAAAAATCTCAAGTCATTGGTTGACGAAAGTCATGAAGGTCTATTTCATCTACCAGCCAGTTTTTTAATGCTGAGCTTCAGTTCTTTTAGTAAGACAATTCCCTTCTTGGCCCCCCATAGAAAGGATTGGTGGACAAATACAATAAAACACCATCAATAGTCAAGAAATATATTTGCTTCTCATTAGGACAGAGTGTAACATTAGGATAACCCTCAAATACCAGTGTTAGTCCTTGACCTAAAATTTGAACCTATATTTTTAGTAAATCTGTAAGGAATACTAAGAGTGTTGTACAAATTTAAAAAAAAAAAAAAAAAAAAAAGCCAAGAATGAAAAATACTCAAAAAAGCTTATGGTAGGGAAAGAATTGCCCAATTACTGTCATACATATCAGTACGGCAAGATTTAACTAGCTTTTTCTATATGAAGCAAACTTAATTACCACAAATTGATAAATTAATTTTTTGATTGATTCATGTGTTGTCATCAACAATGAATAATAGTGCAAAGTTTCAATTTGATCAGAGAATGGGAAGTTTGGGAAATGACAAGTACACATACAAACAGCGTGAATTGATCTAAGCTTTGTAAAAAAAAATCTTAAAATCCCTTTGAAAGGATTCAAACTCAGCACCTTCTGTTCAACATCATCATTCAGCTAAGCTTCCCATAAAGCATTTTTAACCCTTAAAGAGAGACCAGAAGTGATTCAAGGACCCTGTTGAATTACAACAGACATTTATGGATTTCACTCAACATTTCTAGAGATTTAAAACAGATTGTTAGAAACTGAGCTCTTAACTTTGTAGACAAAACCTAGATAAACCCATTTATAGTCTAAAGGAGCAAACGACACAAGACTGACAGGCAGCTGTCTGATTAAGAAACAAAAACACAGATTTACATTGTAACAAATCATTTAATATTTGTATATATATATATATATATATATATATATAGGCAAGTGTAATAAAAACCGAATCAAATGTTATAGTCAGACAAAACAGAAAGTACATCACATTACTTCAGGTGCAAGATGTTGGAATGGGGAACTGTGGGGGGAGTGCAGTGAGGCCACATTGACATTTTATTCTATTTATGATCATTAAAAATGCAAGTATCACACAGGCAGCACATAGACACTCAAGTACAAAAGAAAGACTGATATTAAATAATTGATAAAACATTGCTAAATTAGTGCCCGATATTAAGAGGGCTGGATGAGAATGGCTGCACAATAATAAAAAAAATGCTTTGTGACAAATTAATTAAACAAATTAACAAATCTTACTGATTCAGAGAATTTACATAGTATTCATTACCTATTCCAGTGGTTCTGTGTCTCCATTAATGGTTTGATGTTTATACAACAGTTCTCTTGTACATACTTAAGTGATTGTTCATTTGGACACATTGTTTTTTGACCTTTCCACACCTGGTAGTCTCTAACTTGATTCTTAGTTCCAATGTAGCAGGGATATAAAGTAATGTTGCAATTAATTTACCATATTTAAACACAATCTTTCCCATTGTTCTTTAATAAATTGTATAAAAAAAAAAAAGTAATGCACCATGATGAATAACAAAAGCCAACAAAACAAAGGAACTGAAAACTGATGTGTGGATTACAGCTTATACAACAAAACAATGAGAAATGTTATTCCAAACAGATCAGAGAATAAACAAGCAGGTCATCCATGTGCTCAGTCAAAGCACATATTAGACCAAAGAAAAAAAATGTGACAAAGGTGCCTTATAAAATGTGACGAAGGTGCAACAAGGCACAAGCAAAAACACTTTTTTTTTATGTTCTATTTAAAGTTGGCAGGTAGCAGATCAATATTTCCCCAGCCCTTCAGTCGGCCTCTTAATGATTAGAGCAGTTACCTCCCATATAGGAAGTCCCCACTAGAAGGTTGAAGGAAGCACAAACAAAACAATTTGCATAGCAGAGCACCACATAGACAACAAGTGAATGTCAGAAGCATGAACAAGTATGTAAGTAGGTCAAGTCATTTGCTGTATTCAAAAACAAAGTTTTGATGTCTAACAAGCCAGTTGTCTCACTAAACCTACATCATATTAACATACAAAAAAAAATGGGGGGGGGGGGGGGGGGGTTTAGCTGTGATGGGTGTGACAGGGGAGTGCTCCTAGAATTGTATTAAACATTTCTTAATGTGACCAAGCAGAGAGCTCAATGTAATTAAGGCTTACTGCAGGTCCTATGTGATTACTCTGATCATACAGTCTTTCCTTGTAAACAAACATTTAAACAAAAACTCAAAATGTCTACATTTAGTTCACATTCACACAGATGATTGTGTCAGATAAACCTTTCAATGTGCCAGATTGGGTTCTTATTCAGGTTAGCACGGTTCTAATTTGGCCAGATATATTCTGGCCTTTCATTTCACTAGACTAATTATGTGAAATCCATCGAAAGGAAAAAAAAAGGGGAGGGGGGGGGGGGGGAATTAAGTAAAAAATGAAAGAAGCTGGAAATACATTTCAGAACTTTTGAGTCAGTCTCTTTACATTTACTACTTTGGCAAAGTGACTAACACAAATACAGAATGGTGGCATGTCGTCAGTTAAAACAAACAAAAAAATAACAGGTGAACATTTTGTCTTTGAAAACAAAGCATGAGACCTAAGATGTAACACTGTTTCTTTAGTGCAGATTGAAATCCTGCAAGTGTTAGGCATACAACACTGAAGCTCTGACATGAAGATGAAACTGATCCCAACATTAAGGGGGCTGAATGTGAAGCCAATTGATAACATTTTTTTATTTAAATTCAGAAAATGTTCTTTTTGTTCTTCATTCAAATACACAAAATGAAACAAAGAAATGGATTTTTCATTCAATATTCAACCAAATGTAGTTCCTACAATCATGCAAATCAAATATGAACTATCTGAGCATAACGCAGTTGAGTAGGTCAATGCAATTTCAAATGCTGGAAAATTTCCTAAAGTTCAAATAAAAACAACTTATGAGCAAAAAGTGACTCTAGCTTACAGCCCAATGTCACCAATGCTTAAGAACTGCTATATATAGTTCAATGAATTAGAAGGGGAGTCAACTCACTATGTAGCGGGGTTAGATGCTTTTGAAAAAAATCTGCACTTTGATATCAGAATTGAGCTTTGTGAATAATTTGAACTATTCAGCAGTTTGTGGTTGAAGGTAAAAAGGGAAATGATCTAAAAATTCAATGAATTCTAACCAAAATTAGTGTAAATAGTCGTGTATTATAATCACAGAGTTCAAAATGACCATGCAATACGATGAATTATGGTATGTATACAAAATGTATTAATCCATATGCACATACAGTAAACCTGAATAAAAATGAATTATTTCTTATCTTATTTTACTATTTTAGTTCCTAAATAATTTTTATTTGTATTGTAATTAATTCAAGTTGATAAAATACAGCCTGTATACTTAACATGCATTCTAAAACTGCATCTTTTAACTACAGTATAGGCACTAGAGGCTAGCAGTGATGCTAAAATGCATTGTTTTTTAGGTTACATGTCTATGCAGACTGTAATATATATATTCCCAAGTAAACTAAAACCACAAGTAAACTGATAGCAAAAGATTTGTAAGTGTATATAGATCAGTATCATCCAGTGTTTATATTTCAAATTGATGTGGAAAATCATTAAAATTAGTTTTTTTTTATTCTGAGAAGTAAAGATCATAAGTTTTTGTTAAGTGAAAAGTAAATTATTTTGGAAGAAAAAAAAAAAGCCCCAACCTTTACTGTTGAAAGGCATGATTATTATTATTGTACAAAAAAAAAATTGTCTCTGTGGCAGGAATATATATTTACATATTCATGTATAGGTAAGTTTGGGAAATAAAAATCTCAGAATAATTATATATATCAGGGTTGAAGAAATGTATAGTTCAGGGTTGTTTGAAGAGCCATGGCTTAGGTTTTATTTAACAAAGAATCAGTACAAAGTCTGGGTAATGAAGAGTGATGTTGAGAAAATGGAAGCTTATCAAAGTCAAAATACACTTCTAATATTACACTAGCTCTAAGGCAAGAGTTGGGGGGGGGGGGGGGGGGGAAGTAAACAGGATTTAGGGAGAGAGAAGAAAAAGGTTCACATCTAGTGTAACTTAAAGTACATTTTAATACATAGGTCAGTGATGGCGTTTAGGGTCATGCACATAACAAAAAAAAGATTTTAAAAAATTGATTTCATGAAAAATAAAATTTGAATGAGCAGAAACAAAGTCTCGGGTTCTTTTTGTTTTTTTTTGGTAAGACTGGACAAAAAGTTTGGCATGAATGGAATGGTGCACACAAAATTGAATGGCCTATTAGAACATGACACATTCAACATGAATGAAATATAAAAATGGAGACTGCTCTGAAGGATAAACATTTGTTGTGACTCCATGCTTAATGCAGACCACTTACAGTGAAGTTGAGAAAGATGCAATATATATGTCAAAACAAAAAAGGGTTAGAACATAAAAACTCACTAATTTTGATTTTAACAATTAAACACTCAAGACATGAACGCTCTGTACAGATCTATAATTCATTTAACACTTAAATAGTGAACATTAATGACAGAAAAAAAAAAGATTTGTTATAAAGGGCTATAAAAAATGTCAATAAAAGAATCCTGGCATGAGAAATGTCAATTTGTCATGATACCATTTCATGCCAGGAAAACATAAAACAACTATTTATAAATAAAAAATGTTAATTTAACGAATGTTAACCTTTACATTGGTAAACATAAAAAATTAATTAAACTTGTTTCTTTTTTGCCTAAAAAAATTAATTGAAGACCTTTTGATGTGCCCTTCATTTTCTTCTACTAAAATAGCTAAACTTTATTTCTTTACCTTTTGAAACACTGAACAATGACATCTTGTGTACATAAAAAATCTACTGGTAGATTTATTAATATACAAGTTTAGAGGACAAAGAAAAAGTCCGACAAAAACTTCAACTAGATAAATGTTGAGTTTTGAATCCATTGACCTAATTATCTTACATTATAAACTCTAATCCAAATATGAGTGACATGCTGTAATAAAAAAAATGAATGGAAATATTAAATTATGTCATTAAGAACAAGATTCTGGTTTGTTTCAATTACAACAAAACATGCAATCAAACCTCATAAGTTACTAAATATTAAGATGATATTAAGGTGATATTCATGAATGATTCTGTACAGTTAGTGCTGAATAAATATTTATAATGATACAAGTCTAAATTTATAAAGATATATGTCCGTCTATACAGCCCACAGTATAATAGAACTACAGAACATATAAATCTATAAAATAATTTGATCAACAAATAGAGATTTGTTCAAGATGACACGAATACAAATTTCTCATTCAACACTTACAAAATGTTAGCACTTGATTAACTTCACACTGACACACATAAGAATGAATATACAAACATTAGCCATCCTATTTGATTCTATTCTAGTGGCAAGACTCACAGCTCTTGATAAGAACACCATGAACTTAAAACAGGACAATCATGATTTTTTTGTATTTAGTTAAGTTCTGTCCATCACCATACAAGATATCTTCTACTCAACTAAGTTGTCTACAACTCTAGCATGTAGCTAAGAATGACAAAAGAGATGATTTTAATGTAAAGCCTCACACAATAATTAAATTAAGAGTCAAATGTATTTGAACAGTATTATTATGAACAATATTATTCCACAATCCAAGGGAAGTAACCAGTCAAAACAATAAGAAACAGTTATCACAGTTTGAACTTTGTTCAAGTCAGCAAGAAGTAAATAAAAAATAAAAAAACAGTAAAATCAAATACATTTTAATGTCAGAAAATATGAAGGTCAATAGTTCAGAAAACAAAATATGAAAGTCAATAGTTCGGATTACAGAAAATGTTACAAACCCAGAAGTAATGGGAGAATGTTACTAAGAGGTGGGCTATTTATTTATAGCTACATTTATTGATGTATGCAGTGTAGTGAATACGGAAGCATAGACAAACTAGGCATTTTAAATGGCATATAATTTTTGTACATTCTAAATGATTACTAAAGAATTAAATTTCTAATCTCATTCACTTGTAACAAAATGTAATTTATAATTTTATCTGGCAACAGTTTTTTTGCAAATGTGCATCCTTGACATTGGTTTATTTTGTGAATTTATTTCCAAGTCTGCACCAATCTTAATTTCATTTAAATCATACCCACATTTCTTCATATTGTTATGTCTTCTTTTTCTCTCTAATTAAAGAGATGTCTTGTGAATGTAAAGTGAATTATTAATTACTGTGATTCATTTATTTATAAACAAAAATCCCCTTATGGTCTACTTGAATAGATAGATCATAAAAAAAAAAATCAAAAGAAGGTCAGTAGTCATCTGACTAAGACTCTAGAAAAATGACAGCTAAGGGAAGTAACTCAAAGCTTTAAACTTGTGTTGCTAGTGCAAAAAGAAATTATTGCCCCTGAATCAATTCAAGTTAACCCACAAAACCATTAAAAGCTGAAACGCAATGACTATAAGTCAAGTGAAATGCTGTTTTGGCTTTCCATCGAAATTTCAAAAGCAAGGATTTGAAAATATGACTGAAAACTGCTGAAATTAATAATAGGCACCATGTTCTCACAGTTAGTACTATTGAAACACTTCTAAAGCGCTGAATTTTTGGCAAAAGAACAAACATATATTACAAATGCAAAAGAGAAAAAAAAACACTGAAAAGATAAATCACCATGAATTATGTTTTGGGCTGTACACAAATTTGACTATTAAAAATATTTACAACAAAATAGAGAAAAAAGAAAATAATTCAAACCCAAAGGTTGGCTGGAAGAAGAATGTGGACCAGATGTAGCAATCGCATGAAATCAACATGATTTCAGATACTAAAGGATTACTTCAGATCTATTGTAAACACAGCCAAACAGAAGTGGCTTCAGTTTATAACACAATTTATTTGGATGTTCATTCTCATCTTGTTCTTTGGTTGTTTTTAACTTTTCTGATGCTGCAGTTTGAACTAAGTCCTCAAGACTTAACATCGTAACACACTTATGACAATAAACTTTATTCTTTTTTAAATAAAAAA